ATCTCAAAATAAATAAATAAATAAAGAGGCAGCGGGGAATGAAGGAGGACAGTGAAATTGTTGATGGGGTAGCCCCAGCAGGAGCAGACATCTGCTGGGGCACAGTATATAAAAAGTTCAGGGACAGAGGAGGAAAAAGCCTTGAAAGCTTTTTAAAAAAAGAAAGAAAGAAAGAAAAAAAAAAACATGTTTTAGGCCAAATGAAGCATGAAAAATACTTAAAAGCATTAGCAGTTCTTTCCTTTGTTGGGAAGTTGTAAGATTTGAACTGCCGAGAATCTGATTTGGATCCTGTGCTACTCCTTCCTGAGACTGTTTTCAGACAAACCCAGCTGTTCTAGGGAGGAACCCAGGGGAAGTGTGAAGTCCCCTTCCCTCCAGGCCTCCTCATCAGTCCCAGGCCAGAGGCACCCACCCAAACTAGCTCCCCCGCCCCCCGCCAGTCCTCACAGTCCCCATCCAGCCTGACCCCTTGTATTGGTCGGGGCTCTGAGAAAGTCTTCACATTCCTCTCTAAGGCCAGTGACATAATTTAAAGCCAAACTGATTTTAAATGTTTAGAATGTGTCTTCTCCCCTTCTCTGGATTGTGGAACCCCTGTCCTCTAAAAAAAATAGGTCTCATCCTGGTTACAGCAGGAGTATCCTCAGAAGAACTTGTTAAAATGCCAATTCCTGGGCTCCACCTCACTCTCACTCTGATCCCATTAGCTTTCAATCTGCATTTTAACAAGCTCCTGAGGCAATTCTGATACTGGAAGGCCCTGGGTGTCACTTGGAGAAAAAGTAACTGCTGGTCTCCTGGTCACCGAGCTATATGCCCAAGTTAATAACTAGCACAATACCCCAGGCACTGCAGGGGCTTGGGGTTGGGTGGATGGGTGGGGGTGGGGAGAGAAGGGAGGGCTGCTCAAGAAAGATGGACATGGGCCAGAAGAGTTCCCAATTAACTAGGCAAACAGGCTGGAAGAAAGCTTTGCACTGCTTATAAAAACATCTCTCTAAAAAATGTATCAGCCAGGGCTGAGTAATTTTTTAACCAAGAATTCTGTAACAGACACAAGAGCATCTATAACATGGACGGCATGGCCACAGGATAGGCAGACCAGATGTGGGCTTGGGAGCCATGAGCTGCAAGTGAATGAAAATGCATCCAATTCAGAATCAAATAAACATGCCTGGGCCCACAGCCAAGGATAATTCTTGGATTGGACTTTTATCAGGAACCTAAATTTTAACCAGCTGGAACTTCTCTTTTCCAAGTACCACCCTATTCCTTCCTACCTTTTGCAATGAAGTATTTGCCTTAAATGGGAAACTTGCATTTCATTGTAAAGATGATGCCAGCATCCTGCCTTCCCGAATTCCTGAAGAAGTAGTGTTTTTTTTTTTGCAGGGGGAGTAGGAATTGTGTTCCAGGGATAATAGACCAGAGAAGGTGTACCCCATTTAGGTAAGGAGGCAAGAAATGTTCCCTCCTCCCCCACTGCAGGAAAAGCCATTAAATAAAAACCTGTGGGAGTAGATTCCTAACTCCTTGTTCCATAAAAAGGCTTCTAGACCAGCAAGACAAGGGGAGGGAGAACTTCAGTACAAGTGACTGACACAATTAAAGTTGCGAACCAAACCTGCTTCTGGTTGCACACAAAACCATTCCACTCTCTAGAAGCAAGAGCCAGTGTAAATGAGGATGGCGGTCCCTCTGGAGGTTTTACAAATCATTACTTCTTTGCGAACACAGTATTTATTACTCAAACAGCAACCTTACCTGGCAAGGACCCTAACAGAATTTTTTTTTTTTAAGTAGTTGAGGAAGTGTGCCCACAACTCATTTCTAAAACACTGACCTCTGTTCAAGATGGTATCAGCCTCTTAATTGCTCCACTAATAATGGGGAGGTTGTGAAACCTGACCACTTAAACCAGGCCAGCCCCTGGCTCCTCTGGGAGCAGCCCGAAGGGTCTGTTAGCAGGGCTGCAGAGAGTTAGCTGGCTGCAGTCACCTTGCAAGTCCTGCAAAAATACACATTCCTGCAAGGGCAAGGGTTCCTGAAACAAATGTTCCCCGGAGATCAACAGGGTCATTTGCTCAGCTCTGCTCCGCACCCAAATTCGGTCTCTCAGGACTTGGTGCTGCACCTTGCTGCCCCCTCTCAGGTTCTGAATATTGCCCAGGCCCACAGGAAGCCTCCTCTGATTTGCATCACATATAGTCAACCCTTATTCTTTTATGTTCCTATAGCCCCACTGCAAGCAACCTTAGAGCTGAGGCCAACATCTACGGACTAAGTACCTATTATTTGGTAGGGGACCCAAACATGAATCAAATACTCTAGTCACTGTGTACCAGTAATTTCTAGCTGACTCCCTGACAGAACAACTTCTAGAAGACATGACCTAGGGAGGTGTGGACAGGGACAATTTTTTGCAGAAGTGATGCTAGGGCTGAGAAGGGAAGCTATGGAGGTGTAAAGTGAAGGAACACAGGCAGGAACAGCATGTGCAAAGGCCTGCTGCAAAGACAATGGACCTTGATGCCCTGATCTTTGCCTCTACTTCTTAAAATCTATCAAGAAATACAGGATTTAGGAGGAAGGCAGCAGGGTCTAATTTGGTTCAGCCAATATTTACAGGGCTTTGAGGCCACTAAGACGAGGTTCAGTGCCTGGCTAAAGAAACTAGTCTGAAGACATAGAAGTGAACAAATACTGACAAAATGGTCTGGTGATACCAAAGTGCAAGGACCTGCATGAGAAGGCAAAGGAAGGGGCATGGCATTCAGGAGGGCTTCCCTGAGGGGGCACCACCTGAACTGAGTCTTAAGCTAGGCAAGGAATTCTCAAGGGAGGAAAAGGCATCCTGGGAGGAGGGAAAAGCATGTCTTGGAAGCACAGAGGGCATCTATCCGGAGTTAGGAACAGGATGGGAGGGGCAGGGGGTGAGGCTGGAAAGGGTGGGAATGCAAAGCATGTGGGGAAACTGGGTCCATGAAATGCACCAAGCAGCAAATCCAGGAAAGAAGGAACCATGTATCAGCATGGATGAGCCTGGAAACTGGAACATGGCCCAGAGGTCTCTATGATCTTCCAGGAGAGGAAAGAAGATGACCCAAGGAAAGGATTGGTGGGGCCAAGGCAGGAGCAGCTGAGAAAAGTCACCCCCAGCTAGGGGTTGTGGTGGAGAAAAGGTCAGCATGAGTGTGAGGTGACTGGGACAGAGCCACCATCCTATGAGGGTGCAGGTTTGGGAGAGGAGAACACACTCGCACAGGTAGAAGAAAATCACCAGCCTGGCTCCGTCGGAGCACTACCATACCCCACAGCATTAAAACTTCATGAGTTTTGGACAGTGGCCTAAGAAGCCACCTTGGCTACTGCAGCAAAACAGCAAATCGGACTGATTTACCTATGTCATCACATGAACACTCAGAATAAAACGCCTGTGATGATACTGTAGTCATTCAAAAGCCAACAGGAGTCTAAATCCAAAATTCTAGTAGGATCCATACATAAGTCAACATGAGATTAGCCTTGAGGAAACTTGCTAGCTACTAAAATTTTTTTAAACAATAAAACAAGAGCAGTGATGTTTTACTAAAGTGGAACACAGTAAGAAAATGTGATGCTTTACTCAACTAGGAAGGAATGACAGAGCCTAAGGGGGCGGGGGAGGGGGCGGGGGCGGAGGCAGAACAGGGGTCATAACTGTCTCCATAGCTTAGCTGTTGAGTCTGAAGACATCCCAGCTGTCTGGCTCACACCTGGTTTTCTGCACCACATTTCTTGGACTGTGGGGCAAGTGAGCTTGGAGGCACCAGCCTGTGTGCCTAACGGAGTGTTATGTCCTAGGTTTTGACTGTGCTGAGGCTGTTTAGACCCATCCAGAAGAGGTCAACGTTGGCCTAAGCATAACCACTCCATACCTATCCCTCAGCCCAGCAGCACTAAGGAAATTCTCATTTCATCCAATTTTTCATATGAAGAAATTGAGGCTCATGGCTCCCCAGGAGCAGAGCCAAGGTCATGTCCCTGCTGCCTGAGTGCAAAGCCTGCGTTTTCTGCACAAGGCTTAAGGCCATGAGTTCCCTGACGCCGGGCCCACCCTGGGAGACTCGGGGCAGACGGACATAATCTCCGGGTTCTGGGGCCGCCCAAGGCCAGAAGCCCAGGTAGGGAGCTGGGAAGCTGAGAGGGGGATGGCAATGACCTGCGCACAGACAGTGTCAAAGGAGCGCTCTGTTCCAGTGAGACGGCTCAACGCACACGGCGAAAGTCTGGGCACCTCTCCAGTCTCATCTCAGGCACCTCACCCAGGTGACACCCACGCGGCCCTTTGGGGGAAAAATATCCGCAACTCGAAGCAGGGAAGCAGGATATCAGCCGCGAGACCTTCAAAAGACGAAGGGCTGAACCGAGAGGCGAAGTTTCTCAGGAGGTCCCGGAGTCAGAGGAGGGGTAGGAGTGGGGTGACGGCCCCAGGCGAGGAAAAGCAAAGCTACCAGGAGAGCGGGGCGCATCCCTCCCCGGTGCTCCAGGTCCCCTCTCCGGTCCCGGGCCTTGGCGAAGTTGTGGACTGGAAGTCCGAGAGAATACCCCCTTCCCTCCCCAAAGCGCAACCCGGTCCAGGTGGCTCCGGGGATCCCAGCCCGGGACACGCAGCCCTGGGGCAAAGGAAGTCCCGGGCCAAGAACAAAGAATGGGGAGCCCGGCCCAGCCCCACCGCCCCTCACGCCCGCCCTCTGAATGGGACCCCGGCCGGCGGCCGCACCTCATTAGCAACACAAAGCCGGGGTCGGGCAGCCGCTTTCATCCCGACCAGGGCCGGAGGACACGCGCCCCGGGAGGGAAACCAGGAGGATGCGCGGGAGGAGTGGGACCCGGGCCGGCCGCGGACCCCGCGAAGAGCAGACAGGTTGGCGCGGGCTCGCCTCCCCGCGAACACCTGTGCGCGCTGCGTCCCCCGCGAGTTGGCGACGGCAAGAAACCCACCGCCCTCGCCTTACCCTCCAGCCACAGGTGTCGGCGCCCCGCGCGCGGCCGGACCCGCCAGCGGCCACAGCTAACTGCGAGCCGTTGAGGCAGGCGTTGACCGTAAAGAAGACGGAGCAGAGCTGCAGCCACGGGGCCATGGCCGTGCGCTCGCCCAGCCAGGCCCTTCTCTGCGCCCCGGCCGCCCGCCGCTGGCCAGTCCCGAGTGGGCGGTGGCCGCGGCTGCGGCGGCAGTGAAGGGGACCGCACTGGGCATGCGTCGCCAGTCAGGGCCCCGCCCCTTTCTCCGGGCCCCGCCCCCGTCCTCAGTCCTCGTGTGCTGGCCCCACCCCCACAGCCTGGCCCTCCAGTCGTGGCCCTGCCCCCGTAGACCACGCCCCTCTGGTCACGCCCCAAGCCCCCGCTGAGATTCTGGCAGCTGCAGTTTTTTCCCCCTGACTTAGATCTTTTTTTTAATCTAAAGGATTTGTCCAAGTGATGCTCACTCTATGCAAAACCTGAGGAAAACACAAAGAATGTAATAATAATAATTTTAATAATAATTTAATAAACACCTGCTATGTGCCAGACCCCTTTCTGTATGCTCCCAACCACACAGGGAAGTGTATTATTGTTATCCCAGTTTTAGGCGCAGAAAAATTAGGGGAACGTGATAGAGAAATCCTGCTCCGCATTTACTAGTAGGACTTTGGACAAAAGCCTTGCTGTCTCCACAGTACTTCCTCACCACCACCCCCTTTTGTCCCCGCCCAACCCCCCTGGAAGCTAGAATAAGTATCCTAGTCTGGGGAGAGTTCTGTTGGTTGAAACATAACAAGTGCTCCATAAAGGCTACAATCTATCATTAACTGACTCTCATAAGATCACACAGCTGTTACCTGCCAGACCTGAGATCCAAATCTAGACCTGACTAAAAACAATACTCTAAGCTACTACACTTGTCAAACATACCCTCATGAAGTGGATATTATTTCTGTTTGGAAGAGGAAACTGAGGCTCAGAGAAGTGGAGTAGCCCAAGCTATCCAGCGTTTCACCACACTCCTCCCAGCCCTTTGCCTTGTATCTGAGCACCTAAACTCTCACACTTTGTCCCTCTCCACTACCCCCTTCCTCAAGAACACCACCTCCTCTTCCTAAGGGCTTTTTCTACTTCTGACTTTGTCCCCGTGTCCGATACATTTCTCCACCCTGGATCCAAAGTGATCTTCCAAAAACACAAATCAGACTACTGACTTATCCTAATTAAAACTCTAGGCTGAGTGCAGAGGCCAATCCTAGAGGATCGCTTGAGTTCAGGAGTTAGAGGGAGCAGTGAGCTATGATCCTGCCACCGCACTGAAGCCTGAGTGACAGAGTAAGACCCTGTCTCTGAAAAGAAACAAACAAACCTACCACCACCACCACCAACAACAAAAAAACAGTAAAATTATGTGTTCTGTGTTCGGAGGAGGATTAATAAAAATAAAATCAATAAATAAAACTGTTCTATGGTAGCTTTTATGCAAAGGCCATTTAGAATAAAATCCATACTGGCCTTCTCTTCTACTCTGTCTTTACCACCTGGCTCCTGCTGCACAGATCTCCCCCCAACCCCGGCCTTATCTTGGTCTTTTTGCCTCAGGAAACCTTAGAAATTGTCATCTCCGTCCATTCAACATGGCAGCCTCCTCTATATGACTCTCCTTCCAGGGCCCAGAATCCCCTCCCTCTCCTTGTCTGGCCTGGCCTAAGCTCAGCCACTACTAACACAGGATTCCTGCACTTTTCCTTGTGGCTTGTGTCCCCACCACCTTGCCCACATGTCCTTGGAGGGCTTAAGTGGAGGAAGAGAACTCGTCTTAGTAATGCTAGCAGAAGTCCTGGGGATTTGCTTGGAAGTAGCTACATCTAGAACCGAGGAGTAGAGCCAGCCTCACCTGAACTTCAGGGGCTGGAAGTATGAAACAGTCGTTGCCCAAAGGAACACTGACATTATTGCCAGGGAGAGGGAGAATGGGTGCTGGGTTCCCCAAACAACAGCATCCACCTCAAGACCCAGACGCTGGGCAGAATTTTTTTTTAACCTCATTGCCTGGAATTCAGGAATTCAGCCAGACCCAGTGAGGTTTACCATACCCTCTTCAGACACCAGAATAGCTAGGATCCACAGAAGGCTGTTCTGGGGTAGCCTTCTGTGAATAGACCTCGGGAAGCACATCACTCCTTTGGAGCTGCTGGTTCAGTGCCTCCCTACCCTTCCTCACATTCTTGGTACCTGTCCCTGGGTTGTTCTCAGCCCCCACAGCAGGGATGTCCAGCGTTTGGCCATGAGAGTCAGGGCTGGCAGGGCCTGAGATGAGGCCAGGACCACATGGGTTTTGGTGAAACAGGGAGGAAACAATGAGGCGACCAGTTCCTTAATCTATGTGGCATTCCAGTCTATACATGCTTTATAACTTATTAAACAACCCCATACTAAGGGACATCTGTTAGAATCAGTGATTCAAAAATACCCTAACACACTTATCTTGACACATTGATTCAATGATTTTATACATTTCTAGAATCAGAATTGCTGGATTATGCACATTTAAAATTGTCAAACTGCTCATTATCGTATTATCACCATCTTAATTGACTTCTCTGGTTGCGAATGAGGTAGATCATGTTCCTATGTATTTGTTGGCCATTTGTACTCTTTCTTTTCTTTCTTTCTTTTTTTTTTTTTTTTTTTTTTTTTGAGACGAAGTCTCACTCTGTCACCCAGGCTAGAGTGAGTGAAGCAATCTCAGCTCACTGCAACCTCTGCCTCCCAGGTTCAAGCGATTCTCCTGCCTCAGCCTCCCAAGTAGCTGGGATTACAGGCACGCGACACTGCACCTGGCTAATTTTTAGTGAGATGTGGTTTCACCATGTTGGCCAGGCTGGTCTTGAACTCCTAACCTCAGGTAATCTGCCTGCCTCAGCCTCCCAAAGTGCTGGGATTACAGACGTGAGCCACCACGCCCGGCCCATTTGTACTCTTTCTTTTTTTGTTTTTGTTTTTGTTTTTTTTTTTGTTTTTGTTTTTGTTTTTGAGACAGAGTCTCGCTCTGTCGCCCAGGCTGGAGTGCAGGGACACAAACTTGGCTCACTGCAAGCTCTGCCTCCTGGGTTCACGCCATTCTCCTGCCTCAGCCTCCTGAAGAGTTGGGACTACAGGCGCCCGCACCGCCTGGCTAATTTTTTTTTTTTTTTTTTTTTTTTTTTTTTTTTTTTGTATTTTTTATAGAGACAGGGTTTCACCATGTTAGCCAGGATGGTCTCGATATCCTGACCTCGATCCACCCGCCCCGCCTCCCAAAGTGCTGGGATTGTAGGCGTGAGCCACCGTGTCTGTGCCCGGCCTGTACTCTTTCTTTAGTCAGGAATTGGACTCCAGGAAAAGGAGCAGTACTTAGAGCTTACAACAGAGGGAGAACCTCAAAGAGAACATTGGTTAGAGGAAACTGTTTCTCCCTGGGTTTTATTCATGTCACCATATGATTGCATGACAGGGAAGGCAGAGCCCCACTATTGAATTCCCTCCTATCCACAGCTCACTGCAGAATCTGGCAACCGACAGCCTCTGTAAACATGCTACAGGATTCAGAGAGAGCACAAGCTTTCCTGAAGCGGTGTGGAGGGCACAAGAAGGAAAAGGCTTAAGCATCCAGTCTAAAACATGCTTAGAATGACATCCCTCAGGACCAGGGACAAGGAGGCCCTCCTATTTCCCTTCAAGGAAGCCCACCAGCACATGTGTGAGTGGGAGGAGAACCACAGACACCAAAGAGTCAAATCTGGTCAGGAAATTAAGGTTGTAAATTGGCATTTGGCAACGTTCTCTGCATTCTGGTCTTTCCCACTGATTCTTTCTCCCATCTCCTTTTTCGTTGTTGTTGTTGTTGTTTGTTTGTTTGTTTGTTTGAGACGGAGTTTCACCCTTGCTGCCCAGGCTGGAGTGCAATGCCACGGTCTCGGCTCACTGCAACCTCCACCTCCCGGGTTCAAGCGATTCTTCTGCCTCAGCCTCCCAAGCAACTGGGATAACAGGTGCCCGTCACCGCCTGGCTAATTTTTTGTATTTTTAGTAGAGGCGGGGTTTCACCATGTTGGCCAGGCTGGTCTCGAACTCCTGACGCCAGGTGATCCACCCACCTCAGCCTCCCAAAGTGCTGGGATTAAAGGCATGAGCCATTGCGCCCAGCCTCCACCTCCTCTTTTTATCCCAACCCTTCAGAATAGCTGTAAGGCTTCAGGGAGTGGACCTCTCTATCCTGGAAGCTGAGCTAAAATGAGGGGACCAGGCCCCACATGTCCTCCATGGATCACAGTTTCCTCCAAGCCACAGTAGAACTCACCTGTGGGGGTGACCAGAAGACAAGCTAGGGAAACCCTCCCTCAATACAACACTTGGTCTCACCTGCCAAGGCCAGGATTGCCTGTAGTCCAGTCACACTTTCAGTCACCCCTCGTGGTGAGAGGTGGCTGTCGTCTGATTCATCTCTGCCCCCATGCCTGGCACTCTGTCTGGCACATATCAGTGGGCAAGAGACTGTCACCACCTCTCCCTCTTTGGAACAAAGCTGAGAATTAAACAGATAAAATCACCTTAAAATAAGCTGTTGATGAAATGCAAATATATTTTCCCACTCTAACTATAACCTAGCCAGATAAGAAAAATCCTTAATACAAGGATTGGATTCTGTTAGGGGTCAAATTATCCCACGAAACATAAAAAAAAAAAGATAAAGTGATGGTGGAAGTAATTTGTTTCATGAATTATTTCGAGCAGGGAATAACTAAATACTATTTTAATGAACAGTGTTAGAAGCAGTCGGCCCAAATTCTAATTTAGTTTGGTATTGTGAGAAATTAGTGTATGTTTTCTGTATTAATAAAGACATTAAAGGTAAAGAATGTCACTGTACCCCTGACCCTAGTCTCCCAGAGGGCTGAGGGTGCAAGGTTTCCCGGGCTTTGGAGGGAGCAGTGTGTGGAGAACTGGTACCCACCTGCAAGCCCTTAGTCCCTGAGACCCCACAAGACTGCCTGGATGTCAGTCAGGCTACCTGGCAGTCTTGGCTCCAATGGGGTAGGTGTCATCATCCTCACTTCACAGATGGGGAAGCTGAGGCTCAGCGAGGGGAGGTCTGCTCGGGATCACAGAGCTGGGGTTCAAACCGGACCCCAATCGCCTGACCTGGGACTACTTTGCCTGGGACGAAAGACCCCAGACTCAGC